CTCCAGATTTTTTTTTTTTACTACTGCTCCCAGAATTCCTGATGGCTGGCCCAACTGGCTAGGGCTTCTGGGAGTTGAAGTCCAATACAGCTGGAGGACCAAAGTTTGGGAATCACTGGTGTAGGCTGTTGGGCTGTTTCAAATAAATAAATCAAATTTCAGATGACAAACAGTTGACAACTCTTCTTCCCAATGGGGGGGGGATCTCTTTGTGTATATAGAGTAGTTGCATATTAAAGAAAAACTGAATCAGCTGGTTCTGTAACTGCAAGACACCAATGTGGGCTGATGGTTCCCATGTCCCTAGGGCAGTGAACCCACCTGAGAATCTGGATAGCTTTAAAGGAGTTATCCAAGGTACTGAAAGTGTTTCAATACATTCAGCATAGGTCTCAGCACAATTCCTTTAAAGCAGTGGTTCTCAAACTTTGGTCCTCCAGATGTTTTGAACCTCAGCTCTAAGAATTCATGATTGTTAGCCTAGGGCTTCTTGGAATTGTAGTTCAAAACTCCTGGAGGATTAAAGTTTAAAGGCTGGATTAAAATCTGGATTCACTGCCCCACTGAAATGGGAACTGTCACTGCAACATGCAGGTGGGAAGCATTCAGACATTCAGTGCTGCTTCTCTTCTAAAGTGGTACAGTCCAGCAGCCATGATCAGATGTCTCAGCTCCTGAAGTCATTCTGGTTACTGAGAACATTCCAGTAGATGCCTCCAGAACGTCCACATGTAAGGTCCAATGCAGGTGATAGTTGTCCATCATATCCATTAAGACGAGAGCCATATTCTATTTATCACTGAAAACAAGGGTTGTGACTCTGGCACCAATAAGCCACTATTCCACAGTTTCACTGAGCCTCTTTTGACAGACTGGTTCTGCAGCAGCAATGAGATCCATAGGTTGATCATATATTGTGCATGGACATTCTTTTGTTTCTTTATATGTCCTTCCATCTGATCATAGCACCCCTTGTATATCTCTCCCTTTGGGTCTTGTTAGATGCCAAAATCTCAAACATTCACCGCATTCCCAGTGAAATGGGCAACTTGGCCAGTTGAGCCAACATGCATTCTCTTAGAGGACAGAAGGACTAGGCTTCTCCACCATTGCAAGCACGGTTGGAGATACGAGAGAGGGCCTTCTTGGTGGCTGACCCTAGACTTTGGAGCTCCCTTCCCAGGGAGGCCAGAATGGCCCTCTCCTTCTTATCTTTTTATTGGCAGGCTATAACCTTTTTATTGAGACAGGATTTTTAAAACAAAGTTTTAAAATAATGGGCTAGGAGGTGCTTTGCTGTTTTTACTCAGTGGTTCCCAACCGTTGGTTCTCCATTTGTTTTGGACTTCAGATCCCTGAAGCCCCAGCCAACTTGGCTAACAATCAGGAATTATGGGAGCTGAAGTCTGATGTTTGAACTGGATGGTTTCTGAGAACTTTTAAAATCTTTTTCTCATTGTCAAGGGGACATCTTCACAAGCAGATCAGTAAGTAAAGAGAGGAGGGAAGGAATATAGTTATACCTGGCTGAGATTTGAACTCTGCCAGTACAGTCTTGGCTCATAAGACCTGGCGCTTCAACTCTATGAGTTTTGGCTCCAACTATACAGCTACTGTCAGGGGAGGCCAAAATTATCTGGGCAGGAGAGCTGCAGATTGGGGAGGCATTGCTCTCAAATAAAAAATTCTTCCCAAATAAAAAATTCTTCTCAAATAAAAAAATCATTCACACTTAAAGCTCTTCTATTTTCTTGGTTTGCATTCCCTTGGTCACTTTGTTTGACCCTTTGCAACAACAACAAGCCTGTATTACACTTCACAAACCATAAGGCAAAACAGGCATGCCTAAACAGTATTTCTAAATGCTCAACTGATGTGTTCAGTTACTGAAATTTGGAGACTGAAGGCAAATTTCATATAGTGGGAAGACTTCTTTTTTGGGAGGGGCAATGCCCTCATTTTGCCATCTCCATTACCCTCCTGTTTGCTCTGTATGGGCACTATGCTTCTTTAAGACCTGCCAAACTAGCTGAAGTTCTTGACACTTAAATATTTGGGAGAGGTAATGCCGATCCTGACCCAGTAATGCCATTTGGCTGGAGTTATTCACTGGAATTTCCATAGTGTGGCTTTCAAGGCACAAATGGGAAGGAAGACTTGATTAAAAAAAAAAGAAGACATACAGTTTTCCTCTTCGTAAAGTAATTCCAGTGCAGCAGAAGAAACCATGGAGTCCACTTTATTTGATTATAAATCCTGCCTAATGAAAATATTATCCTAATTGTGGGAGTTCAGCGCAGGGGCTTCAGACCTTGCATAAGGAAAGCTGGCGTATTATGAGATATTAGAGGAGTTGCAAAATCTCCTTCCTCATAATGAGCTCTTTTTAAACTGCCCTAATACTAAATTGCTGTGTATGGTATGTTGGCCATAGTCTGGAGGAGTAATTTATGATGCTAATAAGAGTGTCCTCCTTTTTCCTTTTCTTAAAGGATGCTTGGTGCCTGCTGACTCTAGATTTAGATGCCTGGGGGACTATGAGGATGAGTTCATGTTGAACAGATGTGCTAGTGGAGAGCTTGGAAATATGTTATTTTTTCCAACCATAGCCTCCAGGGCCCCTCGACTGGTACTGGGATCCTGGAATTTGAAAAGGTAACTTTGGCAAGCTCTGTTACTGGGCTAATATGTTTGTAAAAACTACTGATGCTGCTGAAAGTCAGTTTTCTCATGGATGAGCCTGCTGTCCAAAAGCAACATATGAATGTCATAGAAATATAGGGATGAATGAACCTTTAGGAAACACTCAGGAGCTTGTATGATGTTAGTAGGGATGTCCCAAGGAGCGTAACTGATGGCATAGTTGTAACCATCTTGGGTGCTCCTCTCTACATCTAAACATCAAACTATCTACTATACATACAGTGGTGTTTTAATAGGATAGCTCATTGAATTGCCTATTAACTTTATAACTATCAGGTTTTTAGATGAACTTTGCCTTAATCTGTGTTAGTATGCAAAGGGATCTTGTAGCACCTTTGAGACTGAGTGGAAGATATTGTAGCATAAGCATTCATAGGCAAAAGTCTATGAAAGCTTATGATACATTTTTTTCATACTTTGTCTCAAAGGTGCTACAAGATCCCTTTGCATACTGATATTCTAGACTAACATGGCTACATCCCTTAATTGATGTTATAAGTCTCCTTGAGTATTGGGATAAAGATGTGCTATAAATTAATTAAACAAATAAATACATATTTTGCTTATGTTGACTCTAAGGGAAATCTCTCATGCAGGGGTGTCAGCAAGATTTCTTCAGAGGAGGTTTGTCATTGCTTTCCTTTGAGGTTGAGAGAGTGTGTGACTTGTCAAAGGTCACTCAGTGGGTTTCATGACTCAGCAGAGGTTCTGTCCTTGGTCTCCCAGAGTCCCATTCCAACCCTCAAACTACTACATACACTGTTTCATAAATGTAAAGAGATTTGTTATTACTATCATGGGCTTTTCTTGACAAGATTTGTTCAGAGGGGTTTCTCATTGCCTTCCTCTGAGGCTGGGAAAGTATGACTTGCTAAGGTCACCCAGTAGGTTTCCATGATTGAGCTGGAATTCAAACCTTGGTCTCCCAGAATCTTAATCCAAAACTCAAATCAGTATACCATG